GAAGAAAACAGCATGAGGTGGTTAACCTTACTTGTGCTCTGAGGGAAGTGTAATGATTTATGGGTGTTCTGGTGGTAGGGACTGTTATTTGATTTTGTTGGAAGGCAAATAACATCTAGCGTTCCTTGAATGTTGTTGCTGATCATGTCTATACACACTGCTACAATGCCATACCGATGGATAAGGACTGTGTTAAGAAAGTAATGCAACATTTCAATATGCTAGTATTGTCCAAAATTTTTCAAAGAGTATGAGGCTATTCAACTTTCTTGGGCAGCACAATCACCAGATCTAAATTCGATGGATCCCAACGTGGTTACATGGTAAGACTGTGGACTTATAATACTAAAAATAGGGTTTTCATACCTGCTGTGGGCAGAGCACAGCCAGCTTATTGTGCAATTTTGTACTTAACAAATAAAACAAATACCCATTTCAATTGAGCATTTTTAAGATTAAGTGATCGTCGCATTTGCTACAGTAATCCTCTTCTAAAGTCTGTAAAGGGGTGTCATTTAAGTAAGAAAAGGGAAACAATTGCCCCCTGTGATAATTTTTTTTTAATTTGGGAACAGTACATATATATAAAATATGTAGTTTGTAGTATTAAATAATATTGGAAATAATCACAGCAAATGGTCACAAAATACACTGATTTTAACTTGCAAAAAGCACAAGACTGTCCAGGGATCAAACTCCCTTTGATCTCCAATAACAATTGCTCCTCCTGTAGAAATCAAAAATGGTACTGCTTAACTGTACAACAAATAGAGACCAAACTACCAGAAATGAATCGTATTCGAACAAGGCACCCTCAAGCACTTTTGAAGTTAATGCCACGCCAAGTTGGGGCTATTTTCACGGCTAAAGATCCAATTTGATATTAGATGGGAATCCTAGTACGATGGAATGTGATTTAAATTATAGTAATTGAAAGTTGTTTTAGATATTCACGCAAAATTGCACAAGGGCTAGCTGACCAATTATGAAATGATAAACTGGGGAGAAGGTAACAGTACTCACTGTCTACTCTTGGGCTATGCTAATCGAATAACGGGATTTGTCCTGAGTCTTGTAATGTACCCACAATCCCAATGTGTGATACGCACTTTTGCAGCAATAGAATGCGAACAAGAATCTTCAGATTCACAGTCCTGCACGTTAACCTTGTGACAAGTCCAACCATTATAACAAATAATACAAAGTAAAAATTCAAAAAAATCTCAAATAGTTGCTAATACAAAGTGCTTGAAAATTATCTCGTAATATTAATCATTAAAAAATATACCATGCAGAACATTCAGTATGAAGTCTAGGGGAATGATCACAAAATATAATTCAAGGGTGCCTGGCTAATTTTGTTTTTCACAGCAGTTTAGAGAAAAGAAAACTGATGTAATTTCCTGGACTTATTATATATTTATTAGAATTTGCAAATGAACACTTATTGGGCATGCAACATTAGAATGAAGGATAATCTCTCATACATTAAAGTATTTTGACGCGGGCCCGTATGTACACTTTCTAAATAGCAAGAACAGGATGGCTAACTTTTCATATCATGAAGTATCATTTGAAATGAATATGTAAAGGCAATAGTTATTGGGGAGGGGGGACAAACAAATATTCAAATTATTTTATTCCATATGGACTCCAGTGAAATATTGATGGCCCACAAGCTATTAAGTCTGCGAATCTTTGGTGACTTCACTTGGAGAGTAATGAAGAATAAAATGCATTTTTTTTAAACTTTAAACATTTTCCTTCCTATTTGTGATGACTTTAATTAGCATGGGGTACTTAAGTGCTATAAGAGTTGAATTACTACTTATAGATGTAGTATCAGATTATACTACATATTATCCATCCTTTTAATTTAAAAATTAAGTTCACAAATTTTTCATTTTTGTGTCTATAGTCCCTCGGGGTGGAACATATTATTACTCAAACATATTTCTAACTCTAACCTTCCATAGAAGCTATATGGACCAGATAGAGATTGGCCACTATCTTGTCCGATTCTCTTTCAAGAATAACAACGTACTTTAAATAAGCATTCCAAGTTATTCTCATCAACGAATCTGGTAGTAACTGCAGGTGAACTCAACCATGATCGTCACTGCCTGTTGACCAACTGA